GGTGTGTCAATGGATTTGGATTCGGTAACATCGAATCTCTTAAGCAACTCCCTGCAATATTTCGTTTGACACACGAATGTCCCTGCTTTGCATTGTCTAATTTGTAGCCCAAGGAAGAACTTTAATTCTCCCATCATCGACATCTCAAATTCACTTTGCATCATATCAGAAAAATCCCTGCACAAAACTTCGTTAGTAGCACCGAATATGATATCATCTACGTAAACTTGAACCAAAAGGATGTCTTGGTTATCTTTCTTGATAAAAAGAGTAGTGTCGACTTGACCCCGTTTGAACTCATGGTCCAAAAGAAATTTGCTTAACCGTTCAAACCAAGCACGAGGTGCTTGTTTGAGACCGTAAAGCGCCTTTTTGAGTTTGAAGACATGTTCGGGAAACTCATAGTCTTCGAAACCCGGGGGTTGTTCGACATACACTTCCTCTTGAATGATACCATTAAGGAAGGCACTTTTAACATCCATTTGATAAAGTTTAAAATCCATTGTAGATGCAAATGAAAGCAATAAACGAATAGCTTCTAAACGTGCAACCGGTGCATAAGTTTCTTCATAATCAATGCCTTCTTCTTGATTGTAGCCTTTAGCTACAAGCCTAGCTTTGTTTCTAGTGATTACTCCATTTTCGTCGAGTTTGTTACAAAACACCCATTTTGTGCCAATAACGGAATGATCATTAGGTCTAGGCACCAATTCCCAAACATCATTGTGTTTAAATTGGTTAAGCTCCTCTTGCATTGCCATAGACCAATGTTCATCATTAATAGCATCCAAAACGGTTGTTGGTTCAATTTGAGAAACAAAGGCCTTGTGATTAATTGTGTTCCTAAGAGAATTGCGAGTAGAAACTCCCTGCGTTATTTCACCAATGACGTTGTCAATCGGGTGGTTCTTCAATGTTCTCCACTCCTTAGGAAGCTCCGTTTGTTCCCGCGTTTTCTCTTCTTCCGGTTCCTTTTCCTTAACGATTTCTTCATCATCATCATAAGAACCTGCAACATTATCAACAATACCTTTCTTCGCCAAGCGAGCATCAAATTCATCAAAGATAACATGAATAGATTCCTCTACGGTCTTAGTACGTTTGTTGAACACTCTATATGCCTTACTACGAAGAGAATAACCTAAGAAAATTCCTTCATCCGACTTAGCATCAAATTTTCCCAAGTTATCTTTTCCGTTATTATGAATAAAAACTTTACATCCAAAGACATGAAAATAGGAAAGGTTAGGCTTTCTTCCTTTGTAAAGTTCATAGGGCATTTTCTGGAGTATCGGTCTAATGACGGCTCGGTTTAACACGTAGCACGCGGTACTCACGGCATCCGCCCAAAAATATCTAGGAAGGTTTGCCTCATTGAGCATAGTTCTAGCCATCTCTTCAAGAGATCTATTTTTCCGTTCAACCACTCCATTTTGTTGTGGTGTACGGGGGGCCGAGAAGTTATGCTCAATGCCTAATTCGTCACATAAGGCATCAAAACCATCTTGATCGAATTCTCCCCCATGATCACTTCTTATGGATGAAATGTGACAATCTTTTTCATTTTGAACTAATTTAATGAATTTCTTAAAAGCATTAAGTGCATCATACTTATGAGCAAGAAAGAGTGTCCATGTAAACCTCGAATAGTCATCAAC